AAAGCAATGCTTACTCTACATATATGTCAGCAGATCTTTCTACTTCTAGTTTGTTATTTCTCAGTTGGATTGTTTCTTTGTGAAGCAGTTAACCAATCTTGTGTATTCTAAATTTATATAGTGACAAAATATAAGTGATTACATTTATTCATTTCAAAAGTAAAATTTGAATTGGAATGTGTGGGATCCCTATTCTGCTCAAATTTCACAGTCTATTAATTAAATGAGTGAATACATGTTTTCAGCCTTACTAAATCAATTTAATGCCACCAGTTGTTATCTTACAGAGGGGGAGCCGACTTCTTCTTTTTCCTTAATCTGTAAATTTTAAATGATAATTTCCCAAATAATTTTCCACATCGGAACTGGAGCCCAAAGCAGAACTCTATTTCCTTGTAAAAGTATCAATCTTCAGTAGCAAATACATAGTTACAAAGGTCTAAGTAAATCTCAACAGATTTCTGTCACTATTGAAATATAGAGAGAAAGTTATGAAATACAGTATATTTTTTTCCTAAAGGTCTATCTAATAGAAATGTACCCTGGATTCTCTGTTCCCTGGCTTTGACTCTAGGATAATTTTGTGATGTTCGTCAAACTATTTTTTTGTTGTTGCTGGACCTCAGTCTCCTCCTTCTATGAAATAAGGGAACTACTTGGCTGTTACCTTCCTTGTCTAAAATGTGCTAATTCTAGTATTGTATGAATTTCGCAAGGAAATAAAAGACACATGGCCCCATAGTTGGTATATACGAATACGTGTGTGTGTGTGTGTGTGTCTGTGTGTCTGTGTGTACCCAGATTACGCCAAACACCACATTCATACTTTTCTCCATGAGATACGTAACTCAAAGATACAAGATAAGAAAGAATGACTTTGCTTCATTTATCACGCTGCGTGATTTACTTCAAATCTTTCCATTGACTTTGCGGTCTTATCTCTAAGTCGCTAATTGATTCAGGACAAGTTTGGGATAAAGGCCAAATTGTCATATGTGGATTTCCATACAAATTTATATAGTCATTGCCAATGAAACCAGAGGATGACCTTTTCCTTACTTTCTAGACATTTAGAGTTCTGGGGAATGTTGGCTTAGTAGAGACAGACCTTCTAGCTAAAGATGTGGCCTACCACCATTAGTTCTTAGCCTCGTGCCTATACCAGGCCAAAGATAATAGAAATCTCATCATATACAAATGTGTGTGCCTACTGGAAGAGTTCTTGGTAACAGGCATGACAACTCTATCGTACAAATTATTCTTAGGGAATTAAAACTGGAAGCTGTAGCCGACATCACTCTAGGATGGATTTCCACTAAAAAATACATGATCTTATACACATACACAAGTAAATTGATGTTTTGTTTTCTTAATTCTTAGAACTCTAATAGATGTAGCAACTCATCCATTTGCTTCCAAAATTGAAATAATGTTAATACCTAAGTTCTGCCATTCTTGTTTTACTAAAAATACAATAAATATTTTGAACACAGTTTGATCAGTTAAAGAAAATATCAGACAAATTCAGTACAGGGGGAAAATTATCACTGGAATTAATGTAAGTTTTTTTTTATTTTTTTGAGTACTTTACGATTAGTTACAAGTGGATTTTAAGATGCATTTGTATTCAAGCTAAATTTTAGTCAAAAATAAATTAGTTTACTTTCCATTTACTAAATATAATAAGATTTTTATTTGCACATGCATTATCTAAATAACAGCATGTCAAGAGTAAGTTGACAGGACTTGAGAATAAACCAAGTGGTAACTATATTCTTATATTGTCTATTCAGCTTTTGAAATTATATTAAACTTTGGAAATAAGTGAAAAATTCTTAGCACATAGTAAAGATTTAAAAATAAGAGAAAAATAAAATGCGCTCGCCTTTAGTTTACAAATCAAAAAGTACAGTTGTACTTCTTGGTAATAAAATGTTAATGACCACCAAGCCCAACTTTACCACCCAAAGGAAAAATAAAATGGAAAGGTGGATACTTAATCTCAGTAATGCTGTCAATGATCCATGCTTTACTCAACCAAACACATTATTCAGTTGAAAGCAAAGGTTTTTGTTTGAAATCAAGAGTCTGAACCGTAATAACCTAGACTATATCAACAGTTTTTCTAATGTGTGAGTTTCAGATATAATTACAGAAACTCTGCAACCCACATCTCCTAGAATCACCAGTAAAGAAACTACATCAGCTTGATTCGAATGTCTCTAGAGTGTATGTAAACAAAACGGGAAATAAAGGGAGGAGTATTACCTACCAACTTTTATTTCTACAAAGCTGTTTAACTTATTATAATGTAGTCATTAACAGAACTGAGAAGCAAGAAGCAACACTTCAAAACATCTAATTATCATGAAGATCAGAACACTGTAAGAAACCACTTCCGTTTCATCACAGATAAAGATCTATATTAAGACAATTCAGGAAACTGTAAATAAAATCGAGCATTTATGTTCAATGAAATCTCAGATTTTTAATTAATCCCTGATGTAGGAATGGAAAGAACACCACCCTCAAGGTCTTTGGGTAATTTCATTTATCGTAGGAGGGAAATGGTAGCAAAACTCTACATTCTTTTTTTAAGTTTCAGGTTTAATGAAAATAATGATAAATCAAAGGTAATATTTTTTAAACATAAAAATAGAAAACAATTTTTTATGATATCAAAAAAAAAAATCAGAATCAAAGGAAGGGACCCTGTCTAGGTCAGACTGTCTAAACAGAATGAAACTTTGTAAATGGATCTCTTATCCCCTGACAGCAATATTGAGAAGATGAAGTGTATCAATTACTATTACTAATTACATTAAGGGGAATGTGCTTCATTCTCCTTTATTTCATTTTAGGTTAGCTATTTACTTGTGGTTAAAACTTTATACATTTTTTGAATACCTAATGACATATAAGTTTTCCAAAGTCACTTTGGCAAGGCATGTGATTCATTCCAAGTGCTCTGTGGTTCTTTCCTTTTGGTATATGGACTTCGCTCAGTTAGGAGACTAATACCATACTTTAGTTTATTTATAAGCATATCACTTTGCCCTTTAAACAGGATGTCATTAGTCTTGATATTGGCTGTTTTAAATATTCGAGAATGTACAGCTACTTCATCTGATCAGCCAAATGAAGCTTAAGTGACAGCATAGAACCTAGGAGTTGTTTGCATAAAATATCAATAAATCTGTCACTTGATATGTCCACTTAAAAGCATAAGGTTACACGATTTACATGCAAATGCCATTCAGCCACAGGACAAACGTTCTATTAGGAGAACAGCTGAGGAGTAAATATTCCACAGCAAGATCTACTGACACTTTTTAACATTACATGTTACCATTTTCTAGGAAAATTCTATGGATCTCAGTTTATTTGTGGTGTCTAAAAGCAATCTTATAAAAGTGCCTTAGCTGGAGTCTTTTCTTTGTTAACAAAACTGACAAGCCCACCAAAAGTAAACAAAAACTGTTTCTAATCCCAGTTAAAGCAACCATGCAACAAATGTAAACTCACCACTCTATTGAATTATGGGTTAAAGTAAGTAATTCAAACTCACATGCACCTCATATTTTCAAAAGCCAATTGATGTAATGGATTGTATTTTTATCAGTAGTAATAAAAGCATATTGTCCATTTCTCCTTATCCAAACAGCTGCAGTCAGGTACTAGAAGCCAAAAATATTTCTCTAGGGAACTCATTTCAATAATTGAGAAAGCAATAAGGGGTAAATGCCTCCTGTCTATAGCATCTTCAAAGAGGCTATAAAGAAAAAATCTTTTCCCTTTGCCTCCATTTCTCTCAGATCATACCTCTCCCATGCATGCGAAGCACATTTCATAGAAAAACTATTACATGACACTACTTGACAATCATAAATGTGTTTCTTGAGAGCAGTTCAGGCAGTAAGTAATAGGTGATACTTTATTAGCAGAGTTTGCTGCAACATTACACACAGCAGTTTCCCAAAGATTTTTATTTGCTGTGTGTCAAACTTTGGTGGATGGGCAAAGCAAACTTTCTCAGTATTTTGCATCATGCAAGCGAAACTTTCAAATATAAATTTTGTTTCTTCTGATGTTCCCTTCAACATGTATTTTTTTTGCTCTTTTCATATTTCACCGAGAAATAACTCTGTCAAATATTCCATATAACTTTTTATATCTCAGTATGTCATGATGCACACCCAAAATAGTTTCACACATATCACTCATGAGCATTTTGGCTCCTTGGCTTAAATAATAAATGCCTCATTTAATTTACTCTTGTTTATAAAGTTTTGATACTAAATAGAAGAACGTAAATGCCAATTACAAATCAGCACAGAATCCTCATTTGTATTGATCTCTCCTGTAAGATATGAAGTATGAAGAATGTAGTTTTGCATGACATTTGCATATCACTATGTATTTTTAAACCAGCATGTTTGTCAAAGTCCTCAGTATTGCAATATCTCAGGCTAGGTATTACATTTGCATGAGTCTGCATCTGCTTATCTGTAAAATCTTGCATTATATATAACATAGCTAAAACTTTTATAACATCCCATATACATAGACACCAGTAGTAACTTCAGATATTTTTCTCCCTGGGATGCAATTATCCATTTAAGTGCCAAACAAGAAAATAATTTCAGATGAACACTAACCATCTGCACAATACATACCTACGTATGCTGGAGAAGAGAAAATACAGGCTGAATTAGGGCTGTCAAGTTTAAGAAGTGTAAACACTGCCTACTTTTGAGTCTTTTCTTTAGGAGCTCAGAGAACATTAAAGTTCAGCTTGCAAAATACCATGGCATACCTGGTGCCTGTCACTGGCAGCCTCCACTGAATTAAAGCTACCTCCATTAACCTTGAATTCCTGGTATTCAGACTGTAAATCATCGATTTAAAAAAGAGAAGACAAAAACTAGACAAAAGACAGATCTGGCTCAAAGTTGCTGGCCCTCTCTGGGATACATAAATACGTTCGGGAGGCATCTTACCTGTTTGCTGTATTTATTGGTTTGACAGCTGTATTCAGAGCAGTGATCTGATCCAATTGAAATGTTATCTCCTGCTCCCACAAATGTGTTGGCTGGTGGTAGGTCTTGTACGGCCTGGTGTTTTTTCCCTGCAGTAGGTGACTGTGGGTGAAGCTGGACAGTAGGCAATGGGGAACTAGATTTGTAATGCCTAGCCAGGTCAGGACTGCCAGGCCCACCATTCACAGATCTGTACCGCCCCATGCTTGGGCTGTCTGACAGCTTCTCGTTGACACTATCGTACCTCTGTCCATTTGGTTTCGAGGCTTCTACAGTGACAATGCTGCTGTAGAGAGGTTGCTTAGATTTTTTGTTTTTCTTGTCCTTTTTAGGCTTTTTAGATTTGTCATGCTGCTGGGGTGTGAAAAAGTCTTCGTGATCTTTTTTGCCAGCCTCATAGCCATTTTTGTTTTTGGACCTGCAGTACCTGGCCATCATGACAATTAAGATGATTAGAATCACGGTCATAATGCCAGCAACCACCCCAATGACAATACTGAGTCTCTGCTTGCTAATTTCATAACTTGGGTCACCAGCTATATCCTGGGTGAGTGGGGTGTGCAAACTTCTGACTATCTGGGAGTCGATCACAGTTGCATTCGAAACACTTTCATTGACAAACACATGCACCAGTGCGGTGGTGGACTGAGAAGGCTGCCCACTGTCGTTCACTTGAATCACCAGCCTGTGCAAGCCATAATGCTTCTGTGTGAGTTTTCCCACTAAGGAGACCACACCACTGGTGGGATCAATCTCAAACAGCTTGAAGGGGTTCCCTCCCACAATGCTGTAGTTCAGGTCTGCATTGATGCCATCATCACTGTCCGTGGCCAACACAGTCGCCACCACTGTCCTGACATTGCTCGAAGGTGGCAGTAAAGTGTAAGAAACGTTTCTGGGAAGGCTAACCGTGGGAGCGTTGTCATTTTCATCCATGACGAAGAGAGAGACGGTGGCGGTGGCTGATCTGGGAGGGTCTCCCCCATCCACAGCCTTGACTCTGAAAGTGTATGTGGTCTGATGTTCCCGGTCAAAAGACATGGTGGAGTAAATCGTCCCCGTGTCATTTTCAATAGAGAAAATGTTACTGTTCTCCTCTATGTACAGGCTCATCTCAGCATTGCGCCCCTTGTCAGCATCCATCACGGTGACCATCCCCACCGGACTGTTGGGCTGCAAGTTTTCTTTCACGTAAAAGGTAAAGACGTCCTGCATGAACTTAGGGTCATTGTCATTCTTATCAGCCACCTGCACAATCACCGTGGTGCTGCCCTGCAGCACCGGGATGCCTTTGTCTTTGGCATTAACTTTGAACTCATACCTGTCAGTCTGCTCGCGGTCCAGCACCGTATTAACAAGGATGTCCCCAGAATCGGGGTCGATGGCAAAGATCCCCATCACCCCGGAGTCCAGCGAGTAGGCAATCTCCGCGTTCTTCCCGCTGTCGGCGTCGGTCGCCAGCACCGTGGCCACCCTCTCTCCGGGAATGTTGTTCTCAGGGAAATAAACCTCCACCACCGACTGGCCGAAGACGGGCGGGTTGTCGTTGGTGTCGCCCACCTTGACAATGAGGGAGTTGTTGCTGGAGAGGCTGGGGCTGCCGGAGTCCACCGCCACGATGACTACGTTGAACTCCCGGGTGGCCTCATAGTCCAGAGGGGCCGAGGTGTGCAGGAAGTACTTTTTTTTGTTCTGGTCGCCCTCCGTGTCGCTGGCCGGCTTGAGCTGGAAGGGCACGTCGCCCACCACCGTGCAGGTGACCACGCCATTCTCGCCCTGATCGCGGTCGGATACCTGCACCAGAGCGATGGGGGTGTCCACCAGGACGTCCTCGGCCACGTTGGCCACGCCGTCCTTGAGTGGGATGCGCCCGATCTTGCGGATCTCAATGGATGGCACGTTGTCATTCTCGTCCTTGATGTTGAGGACCACGGTGGCCTTGTCGGTCTTGGGGGGCTGGCCGCGGTCGCGGGCCATGACGGTGAAGCGCAGCTGGTTCACCTCCTCGCGGTCGATGCGGTGCAGGACACTGAGCCAGCCCGACGTCTCGTCGAGGCGCAGTAGCCGTCGCACGGACTCGGTGGCCGCCCCGAACACGTACTCGATCTGCCCGTTCACCCCCACGTCCAAGTCGGCGGCGCGCAGCTGCAGGATGGGGGTCCCCGGGGCGCTGTTCTCCGCCAGGTCAGCCTCGTACACGCTCTTCTCAAAGCGGGGGCTGTTGTCATTCACGTCGGTGATGAGCACCCTCAGGATGGCCTGCGAGGAGCGGGGCGGGGCG